GTCCAGATGTACAGCCAGATGTGATGGAGGCAGGATTGCCACCCAGAGCTGTTTGCCTGCAGTGGGAACATCTGTTGACTTAGCCCAGGTTTACTGTCCCCCGTCAGTGAGGCCCCACACGCCCTCTGTCTTCTCTTCTCTTCTGCCCTACATCTGTCACATCTGCAACTGTGGATTCCTAGCCATCGCCTTGTTTATTACTGTCTTCCCCAGGAACTGAAGCCCTATAAATGCACACCCCTGGGATGTCTTTTTATTGTCTCTTCTATTGTGTTGTGTGTTTTGAGACAGCATCTCACTATGTAGACTAATCTTGAACTAATGACCAACCTGACTTAGCCCCCCAAGTACCAGGAAGCCAGGCAGGTGCCACCAGGCCTAGCTTCCATTCTGTCTTGTTCATGGATACCCTAGCTTAGTCCAAGGACCGAGAGAAACTTCCAGAACACCCAGAGGGGCTTTCTATGAGGGTATTAAGGAACATGCCGAGGGACCGCTGGTGGGGCACTTGCCTAGAGTACCTGGGCCTGGATTTTATACTTGGCACCACAAACATCCCCACAATGGAGGAGTTTACGCCTCTCACTGTCTAATGAGGTCAGTTCCTTTCTCCCTGGAGACTCTGCCCCTGGGAGGGAAGCTTTAATTGCACACAGAGCTCCAGGGCCCCCTCCTCTAGAAACCCTGCCCGGTGGCATGGCCAGCCTTGCGTCCCGAGCAGGAGAATGGAGCAGGCATTGGGTTTAGACACTATGAGAGTATCTAAAAACCTCCCCAGTAATTGGCAACTGCCTAATCACTTGCTATAATTAGGAGAGCCTGGAGGCTCAGGGGCTGTTCCGAAGGTTTAGGAATCGGGAAGCTTAGAAGGCAAACAGGCTCACTGCAGCTAACTCTAAGGAAGAATGGAAATCCACATCCCCTGGGAACACGTCCCTTCAAAGCATATTCATAGTTCCTGAAAAGTACCACTTTCCTTATTAACAGCAGCTAGGTTTCTTTTTTTTTTTTTTCGGGTAAATTTTCTTTTATGTAAAACAAACGTACAATTCCCACCTGCTTAGCCAGTGAGTTTTCATGAGTTGAACACACCTGGTGTCCGGTCCCCAAAGCTCCCTTGCAGCCTCTCCCAGCCCCCGCTCTCTTCCCAAGGGTAATCATGGTCCTGATACTGAACATGGTAGATGGGGCTGGCAAGATAGCTCAGATGGCAAGGTGTTTGCCACACAAGCATGAGGACCTAATGTCAACCCCTGCACCCATTTAAAAGCCCAGGTATGGTGGTACGTACTAATAATCCTGGGACTCAGGAGGCAGAGACAGGGCAGATCCCAGGGGATGGATGGTCAGCCAGCCTAGCCTAATGTGCAAGTCACAGGTCCTAGCGAGAGACCCTGTTTCAAAAACCAACGTGGACGGCTCCTGTGGAATGACACTAGAGGCTGACCTTTGGACTTTGATGAGAATACACATACCCCTATATGTGTGTATTACATATATATATATGTATATATATATGTGTATGTACATACATGTACATGCATGTACACACACAAACACAGAGACAGTTGTTTTGGATGCTCATGCTCAAAGGCTCCTGTAGCCTACCAGGGTCCCTGAGTGCTGGGAAGAGGGGGTGTTCCATGACTGCTTGGCCTTTTCTACTGGTGTCACCAATGTCTGTCAGGCACTTTTGCAGGCCCAGTGTCTGCAGGTAATTTCATCTTGTAAGAAAAGCCGAAGGCTGTAGTTTTTTGGGGAAATCTTAGATTCTTGAGTGTGGCCAATGAGGAAACGTTGGCACACTGTAGTGCCAACTTCATCCAAGCCAAACCAAACATGTTTCTGGCCTGATTTGGACTGCGGGCTGCCAGCATGGGGGATCTGGAGGCCATAGGCCCACCAGGGAAACAGTTCTGAAGATAAAGATCACCATTTAGAATAAGCCACTAACCCTGGGGGTCAGAGAGGGACAACCAATCGCCAGGGCAGCAGGAGTGGATGCTGGCAGCACCATGAAGGGCACACAGGATGAAACAGGAAGGCCACTGTAGGCAGTGGGAACAGCTTGACCAACATGCAGTCAGGGACCACAGAGGAGTTTGGTGTTGTCGTGGCCGTGGGGAGGTGAGCAGAAGCCAGGGATGTTTGAACCTGTCCTGCAGGTGAGAAAGGGCTGGTCCCTCAGGCAGCGGGTGCAGAGGTGGCAGATCAGATGAAGGCTGGGGCCAGGGGGTTGTTGGCAGGCCTTGGCTATGGCACCAGGTTGAACCTGCACCGGCTCCTGTCTGGGGCCAAGGTCATTGAAGCTGTGATTGTTACCTTTCCCTCTTTGAAATGCAGAGTTTCCAGGCTGCCCTGGAATTCATAATCCTCCTGCCCCAGCCTGTGGGGTTACAGAGTGTGCCACCCTGCCTGGCTGCAGCTCTGTCATTATAAGGTATGAAAATATCTGTTGTATCCACGGGGCTGGCTTATGCCGTGAGAGGCATTTCAGGAAGGCAGACTAGCCTGGGGATGTAGCTCCTCCTACTGGTCTCTACCCTCCCTCTGGTGAAAGATCCAGCAAGCACAAAATCAATTTGAACTTGAATTTTCCCTTGGAGCCCCTGACCTTGCAGATGCCCCTGTCAAACATCCTCACATCCTGGGCTCTGTCCTGCTGGGATGGAACAAATCGTGCTGGATCTGCTTTTCAGACCATCTTAGGAGGGACTGGTTGCAGCTCAGTGGTTCAGCATTTGCCTGGTAGACATGGCCCTGGGTTCCATCCCAAGCGTGGCCAAAAGCAAAGAAACAAAAATAAACCCGGAGCTTCCTTGGCCTTTGCACCATCCTGTCTGAGCCCCTGGTATCACTTAGCTACCCCCAGCTGGTCTCCCTGTCCCAACCTTTGTCCACTTGACAGCTGGGGTGCTCTTTTCCTGATTGTTAGATTTGGTCCAGACCCTTTGTAGGACTCCACGTGACCCAGCGAATGACCACATAGATTTCTGTGGTCCGTCCCTTTCTCCTGTTCCCTTTCTGACCCTTGTTTAGGCTGTGCTTCCTCCCCCCACCCCAGGACCATGCAGACTCCTGCCTCAGGCTTCTGCACTGGCCCTTCCTTCCCTTGTTAGGAACTTCCCTTCCCTGGCAGAGCCTCCTGGTGCCTCCTTCACCTCCTTCCAGGCTTTGTTGCAATGCCAGCTTCCTGTGAGACCTTCCTCCAAGCTCCACCCACATCCACACCCCACCACCCCGCTCTTCACCCCTGCTCAGTCTGCCTTGGCCTTATTAATGTCACTCATGTTCTCTCTTCTTCTCTGAGCTGAGCATACAGTGGTTGCTCAGCGAGCAAGAAATTAGGCACTGTAGACAGGATGTCACAGCAGCGCTTCCTCTAGGTGTCACTTAAAAGAGTAGCCCCTGGTACTTTCTCCTCTGGGCTCCCCTTGCTTTGAACCCCCCAGGACATGGTTCCCAGCTTGAAAGGAGTGTGTCCTGCTACGTGGACACGACTGAGTCTCAAGGCCAAAGACCTGTCATGTCAGCACACATCCCAGGCCAGGATTTAAATGTGGACAGGCTCAGATGACACACAATGTATGCCTGGCGAGGGCAACAGATTCCTTGTGGTCGTTCATCCACATTACCCAATACTGGATGGCACCATTGTGATCCAGAAGTTCTCCCTCTCAAAATAATTGGAAACTCCTTGCTTGGGGCTGGAAAGGGGCTCTGAGAAACAAGTGCAGGGTTCCCCTGGCCACCCTCACCCCAGTTCCTACCAGAGATATTGCCCACAATGCTTTAGTCTCTCCTGCCCCCAGGCAGAGTGGCAGCAGCTGGCAGTGCGTGGAGCTCACCCACAGGAGTAAGGCAATTCATAATCCGTTAACCTTGAATTCTGCAAAGCCTGCCACTCGGCAAGCTGGGGGTGGCTGGAGTCATTCTCGGCTTGGGCAGAATTCAAATTAGCTCCTGCAATCAATGTGCAATTAATGGTTGCACACCCTGGGCATCTAGGCACTGTGCCCCATGCAGTGGGAAGAGCGAAGGGTGTAGCTTATCATGTTGGAGGCAGAGGTGGAGATGGGGGTGCTCACAGATGAGCAATCCTAGTTTGCGAAAGAGATGCTAAAAAGGTCTGAGTTTCATCAAGTCCTTGGCCCAGATATTGCTAACCATGTCAGCATTTACTGAGTGCCTACTGTGTGCCAGGTACCCTTCCCACCCTGACTCTGGGGAACAGTCTTCCCTTCTTATAGATACAGAAATTGAGGGTCAGATAGAGCAAGTGTCTTGTTCAAAGTCACACAGCTGGTCGAGACCTAGATTTACCAGACTTCAAAATCAGGATGCTTGACTAACCCTGCCCAACCAGTTTTAAACCTTCAGCATTCACAGGCCCTTCAGGGCACCCTTTTTGGTGACCACAACTTGCCATCCTTTTTGTGACCTCCTGGGTCATGCTGTTTGTTCTGGATCTCTGGTGTGGCCAGCCTGGATGGGGAAGGCCTGTGTGTTACATCCTACCTACACTTGGCCTCTTCTGCAGGTTGCTGCTTTACAAGCGTTCTGCCCTCTGGTGTGATAACAGGGAGCCTGTGAGTGGGGATTGGTCTCAGACATCAAAGGTTACCAGGGGCTAGCCTTTCAAACGTCGTGGCTCTGCACCCCCAGGCCTCCAGGGTCTTCCAGCTTTTGCAGAGGCTTCTTATAGCCTGAATGCCCTGCCCTCCGTGTTTCTACGGGGACCCACAGACGCTGTCTTGTCGCTCAGCTGGTGGGGCTCTGGGTCCGGGGTAAGAGATCTTGTCCCGCCTTGAGTGTTTGCGCCACATTCCCGTGGGCTCCTGTGGGAGCGCCTTGCCTGGGATCTCTCACTTGTCCCTCTCCACTCCTGCGCGGCTCTGTCCCCCGCCCGCGCCCAGTGTGGCGCGCCCCCTCTCCGAGCGAGCGCGGGCGGGCGCTGAACAGTGTCGCCGACCGCCTGCAGGTGTCTCCCCACGGAGGGGAGCGCGTCCCTGCGCCGTGGCCGCTGCCAGGCGCCAGGGGCTGCTCGCCGAGGCGCACTAGCGCTCCGGGCTCCGGGCGCGCTGGTCCGCTCCACTCCGCAGCCCCGACCGCCTTGCGTCCCCGTCGTCCCGCGTCTCCGCCAGGGGCCATGGGCCTGCGCCGCGAGCGCCATCGCCGACCGCAGGCACCCGAACCCCGGGGCGGGCGCTGACGCGGGCGCCGCTGCCAACTTCGCACGGAGCTGCGGGAGGCGCGGGAGGCATGAAGACCAGCCGCCGCGGCCGAGCGCTCCTGGCCGTGGCCTTGAACCTGCTGGCGCTACTCTTCGCCACTACCGCCTTCCTTACCACGTACTGGTGCCAGGGCACGCAGCGGGTGCCCAAGCCGGGCTGCGGCCAGGGCGGCGGCGCCAACTGCCCCAACTCGGGCGCCAACGCCACCGCCAACAGCACAGCCGCCCCCGCCGCCGCCGCCGCCAGCCCGGCCGGTTCGCCCTACAGCTGGGAGGCGGGCGACGAGCGCTTCCAGCTGCGCCACTTCCACACCGGCATCTGGTACTCGTGTGAGGAGGAGCTCGGTGGCCCGGGTGAGTGCTGGCATGGGGCTCCCCCGGGACGCGCGCCCGCAGGTCCCGGGCCGGGAGGTGGCGCGTCCGGGTCCCTCGCGCGCACCCTGGCTGCGGGTCCCAGGGCGCGCGGTCCCTCCCCGGCCTGAAGTAATTTCCTCGAGCGCCCCCTCTCCTAGCTCCCATCCGCCCCGTCGCGGCCCTGGAGGGGACGGTGGGGGCCAGGGAACCTCTGCTAGGAGCGACCCCTCCCACCGCAGATCCACGGAGCCAGAAACCGAAGGGTTCTGCTACTCCTGTCTCCAAGCTGAACCTTTAGCTGGGGAAAACAGGGAGTAAGGGGAGCCCAATGGGCACCCCTATTGCCACAAGCCAGGGAGTCCTCAGTATCCTGGAGCTCTCCTGGGAGTGGATGCCGTGAGAGGGAAGAGAGGCAGGCGGGAAAACAGGGACAGCTCTGGGCCCGGGGGCTTGAGAATCCAAGAAGTCTTGGCTCAATATAAGGCTTTTTCTGAATTGGGGAAGGGGGCTGGCTTTTCAGAAAGTATGCAGAACCCTTTTATTCCCCACACTCAGGCAGCCAGGGCTGAAGTGAATACCCACGACGCTGGCAGCAAGGCTGGAGTGCTCAGGGGACTTTTGTCTGACAGGGGACTGTGCCATATGGTGGGTGGTACTGGCTGTAGACTCAGCCCACATCTTGTCCGCAGTAAGCTACTGTCCTGGCAGGACCCGTGTGGAAGCACCGTCTCCGCTTTTGCTTAGCTTTACCTTCACACACTCGGCATAGCCTGAAATTTCCCGGACCAGTCTTTAGTTACTAGGATATATGTCCCCTTTCCCCTTAAGATGTCACTCTTGTTAGGACTTGGCAGTGTGTCCCGTCCTCCCCACCCCCAACACTTCTGTGTATTGCCAATAAATATTTGCAGTGTGATATGCAAAATGGAAGTGTTGGGTGGGATCTAAGGCAGAGGGGACTGGAGGGATCCTGTGTTGCCTGCTGGGCCTTGAGGGAGATGGAGGTGGGCCGGCCACTGAACTTCGCTGTCACTGAGCATGCTGGCTTTTTGCCAAAGACACAAGCTATTTGGACAGGACTTGAGGTTTCAGTTTGGCGTGGGAATGGCCATGGATCCCCCTCCAACTGCAGCTCTTCCTGAGATCTGGGAGGTCCTGCCTAGGGACAGGCCACCTCGCAATGCCTAGATGGACCTTGTCCCTGGCAGCCCGAACTACTCTGTCCCTGCCTCTCTAGTGTGTCTGGGTTCTCAGTGGATGGTTTGATGGTTCTCCTGAAAGCTGTGGCCCAAAGCTCTGTAGTTCATTCCTCGCTCCATGCTTGATGTCCAAACTTGGCTGCTGTGTTTAAAAATTATTAACAGAAACATATTCAAAGCAATGTTAGCCCCTGGCATTTTGAGCGTCAGGCTCTGCTAAAGTTGTCACCTGTGGAATCTTGTTACATCTGTGTCACCTGTGGAATTATTGTTCCCGCCTCTGGGCCAGTCAGCCACTTGTGGGAAACCCATTTTTCAGATGAGGAACTTGAGGCTCGGGGGGGGGGGTTGATGAAGGAGCTTGAATTGTCTTCTTGGTGGTTAGGGAATAACCAGAGAAGTGATGGAGAAGGGTCTCTATGCATTTGGGGTCCTGAGACAGGGGTACTTATGGCCAGCACGAGACCTTCACCCCCAACCTTAGTCAAAATGCCCCTGGGTGACCTGCTGGGTGGAGAAAACCCAACTACCTTTTCCCCTTGATTTCTGTTGGCTACACTTGCTCCTCCCAGAAAAATCACAGTTTTCCTCCCCCTGAACTTGGCAAATAGTTGCTGGTGAGAAATTTGGGAGGTCGAAGGTCATTCAGATGGGTCTCTCTCGCCTGCTGCTGCGCACAGCCCCCAGATCTCGCCTTCATCACTGAGCTCCAAAGGGTGTCAGGGAGTACCTGGCCTCAAAGTTTTGTTGCCATGACAACCTGTCTTCTGGGTTCCCTGATGATTTTCTTTTCCTTTTTTTCCTCCAAGAGGGAAAACATCCCAACAAGGCCTGAGCAAATTGGGCCCTACTCTCCCTCGCTGGCTCTGCAGCCAGGGAAGGCCTGGCTCCCCATCCATGCAGCTGGGGGCACTCTGGTGGGGCTTCAGTTTGGAGATCCACCCTGGCTCACCGGATGTTCAGCAGGCCCTCCCCCTCGCTCCCCAGCCCTGCTGTTCTTGTCTCTCTACTCCCGGACACCTGAGTGGGGACATCTAAGGCCCCCTTTCCCACAGATGACTCTCCAGCCTACCCTGAACAGACACACAGTCAACAGCCCCAGTACAAAGGGCTCTCTTCTCCTCCCTCCAAGAGAAGGCATGGGCGTCCTTGCATGCAGCCAGAGGAGAGCAGCCCTGAACAGAGTCTCCAGTCCCTTGCTGCAAATTAGATTTTTTTTTACTGAATTTGATATTTAGAAGAGCTGGGAGGAGCGTGGAGGTGGGGCAAGGTCCCGGCTCGGAACTTCTGCTGACTGTTGCCTATGTGATGTGTGGGCCTCTGCCCTGTGTGTGTGTGTGACCTGAGGATAGGGGTGTCTCAGAAAACCCAAGGTCATGACATCAGGGGCCTGCAATGCAAGGCTGGCTGAGTGACATTGGAGAGAGAAAAAGGGGCAGGCACTGGGGGAGCAGGCAGTGTGCAGGACTCTGCAGGCAGCTCCAAAGCGGAAGCAGAGACCCTGGACCTGTTGATTTATACAGCCTGACTCTGGGCTCAATCTGCCCTGTGTGGGGTGGGGGATGGATGGATCTCCCTCTTGCTACCGTGGGACTGTGTCCAGAGCCTCTGCTTGCCACCTTGCAGATGGGGAGAGGAGCAGCTCGCCCCACCCCAGGTACAGGGCTCAGTGACAGCATGGGGACTGAGCACTTCACACACCAGCCTTACTTCTCCTTCTCTGGTCTGAGCCACTGCATCTAAGCCCATGGACACTGCCCATTCCTCAGACCCTTCCCATAGTCCCTGGCACCCAGAGTCACGAAGGCCCTAGACTACTACACCGCCTCTCAGAATGCCTCCCTTGCAGTCCCTGAGTCTACACTCCAGGCATACTGGCTTTTACCACAGCAGGCTGCCACAGCTCTACCAACCTTTGTACATCCACCCAAGAGCAGGATTCCAGTCTGCTCAGACACTCCCGTTCACCTGACAGAAACAGGCCCTACCTTATGTTTTCTACATGCACTTTGTTTGTTTGTTTGTTTTTCTGGGTTCTGACCATCGGCCTTATGTCCACCATTAGTCCACAGCTCTTGTTCATTCTGTTGGTGAACTCAGGGGTTGATGCCTAGAATTTTCTTTAAAGATTTACTTATTTTTATTTTATGTATGTGTTTTGGCTGCATATGCCTCTGCACCACAGAAGTGCCTGGTGCCTATTGAGGCCAGAAGAGGGTGTCAGGTCCCCTGGAACTGGAGTTACAGACAGTCGTGAGCTGCCACATAGGTGCTGAGAATTGAACCCATGTCCTTGGGAAGAACAGCCAGTGCTCAGAACCACTGAGACATCTCTCTGGCCCCTGGAGTTGACTCTTGTCTGTGCTTTCTGTCGCCATATATGGTGCTTGGGTGGCTGTGCACAGTAGGTGTTCAACAGAACTTTGTGGAGTGTGTATTCGTTGGTGTTGCTGACTCTTGGGATCAGTTCTTCCAGGCCCAAGTTGCTTCTTGCAGGGTGACCCACACTTGCCAGTGCAGGGGCTACCACACACTCCCTAGAGGAGGCATGAGTCCAGACCCTTGCGATGCCCCTCCACCCCCGGCAAGGTTGCTAGTGCTTTAGACTGAGTGAGTGTCCACTAGACGGGTTTCTTACTGGGAGTGTGTGAAGGGTGGACTTGGGCTTTGAAAGGCAACATAGCCATCAGCAAGTGTGACCTCCTCTTGTCCTCATAGCAACAGGTGCTCTGACCATTCCTTCTCCAGCTGAGACATTGAGAGGCACAGTGACTTGCCCAAGGCCACGTATCTAGCAAGTGGCCGAGCTGGGATGTGAACCCAAACAGGAGGTCCAGTGTGTGCCCTCCCCTCACCCTCTTCACTCCATTGTATGCCTCGTAACCCACCTCCCATTCAGTCGGCCTCCCCAGGCTCCTCCAACCAGCCTCTCTTTAGCACTATGCCAGGAGTCACAACTCCTGGGTCTGAGCCCAGACTCTGCTGCCAGCTTGCTAAGTGGCTTTGGAAGTCACACCCCTTTCCCGTGTCTCTTTGCTGTTTCTTTGCTTGGGTATAAAAAGAACATTTGGTGTTGGTTTCTGCTGCGTGACACAGGGGCCAGAGTGCTGTTGTTAAGGCCACAGGCTTTAGAAGCAGTGGTTCTAGTCCCCACCTCGCCTCTTACCTGCTGTGTGACCTTAGGTGGCAGTTTGTTTTCTCTGTCAGTTTCCTCGGCTAGAGCAGAAGGAGCACCCTTGACCTCATGGTTGAATCACCCGGTTTAACCAGGATTCGGGCAAACATCCTTTCTGTGGTCCAACCTGGTATGAGAAGCTGCAGGCCAGCAGTGAGGGGCATGTCCAACTTCAGTATCTTGCGGTGTCTTAGCCCACATCTGGAAATGGAGGCAGCTCACAGAACCACCTGGACTTGGGGCAGATCTGTGTTCACTGGACCCGGGTCCTACTGGGGCATCTACAGTTTGCCCTACCCACCCTCCTACCACACTACAGATAAACACAACAGTTCCAAAGCTCAGGCCCCTAACTCTGAAATCCCACAGGACAACCTCCCCATCACACCTCATGTCAGAACCTCCGGTGTCCTGTCCACTCTTCCATGGGCAGCTCAGTCTGACATCATCCTGTGATACTGACCGAGTCTCTCCTGGGTCCAACTGCACCTGGCTTGTATCTTGGGAACTATTAAGCCAACAACCAAAGGGGCTCTGTTAGATCCAAGCTGGGTTGTCTCCAATGCCTTCCATCTGACTGGGAGCTTAGCTGGATACTCCAGTGTTTTTGAGGTTCTCAGGACCCT